TGAGGCAGTTCTGAAGGCAAAAGGGGGTCCAACCCGTTACTAGTGTGGTGTACCTAATAAAGTGGCCGGTGAGTGTATGTCACCTTTAGTTGTTATTAAAATGCTGTTTTTATATTTAAATAGAAAATAAACTTGTCTTCTCATCACTTCCTCTTCTAAACGCCTTGAAATTGGCCTCTGTCTCTTTAAGAAGCAACTTCCGCTTCTTTCCCGCCCATTTCAGCATGGGGGAGGGAGTGGCTGCTACGATGCAGTTCATTTACTTGCATCTGCAAATACATTTCCTCAAAGGTATTTTGAATCTGAAAAGGGCTTCACTGAGTGATTAGTAGTGTTAGGAGCTCAGCAGACGGTTTCAGTTTCACTTTCAGTTTCACCAGTTGTTTGCTTTGTTGCTGCTGAGAGCCTGCAGGAGTCATGGGCGGGGTGTGTGGGGTGGGGGTCGGGGAGGTGTGCTCCGTGATGAGGAAGCTCAGTTCGGAGACACATCCCAGAGGCGGAGATGGTCCCAAAACTTGGTTCTAGTCCCAACTGGTCATTTTTGCTCCCCTGCCTGGCTGCCTCAGGACACTACAGGATTTCTCAAACATGCACGAATGAGTCAAAGCAAGACTCTGGGCATGTTTTTGATGAGAGGAWAACATTTTAACATGATATTTAACTCAAAAAAGTTGATTTTACATGATAAAGTCCCGTTAAATTCCAGTTTCCTGCCAGATTTTCTTTCTTTGAAACGTCTCCAGCTGCTGGCATGACGCACAAAACACCAGCAGCGAACAGAATATCAGATTCTTGGTGGAGGGTGCGGAGGATCCTTTCATGTATGCTGGACATGCATGCTTGTTTTATCTTATGTTTGGCCCATAAAATACTGTCCACCCAGCCATATTTATAGGCATTTTTACAGCAGAAGAATGGAGGTGTTTAAATTCGAGATGTTCAGGTTTTTGATGAACTCAGCACCTCAGTAAGGTTAATAACGACTCCCTTAGAAGATGCCTTTGTTTTTCTTCCTCTCTCCTCTTCTAATCAGCTCCAACAAAACAAACAAAAAACTCTATTCAGCCTCTGAAGCCTTGTTTTTCTCCTGCATTACTCACCCTGCAGTGACTAAGTGACTAAATAATGTGTGGCGTCCCCTTTTTCTGACCCTTCGTTTGGCAGAGAGGCAGGTAAAAATGTAAACCTCTCTCTCTCCCCCTCCCCTGGCCATTTTGTCTTTGTCTCTTCAGACCTCAGTTATTGTACAGATACTAAAGGTTTTTATTGATTTACCATGAACCCCTTCTGACTCCAGCCTGATCCTTTAAAGCTCAGCTTTTTTACGAAACCTGGAAAATTTTGTGTCCCAAATGCTCCAAGGTCAATAAAAGTCTGCAGATGAAGATTTTTTTTATTAAGAAAAAAAATAGTATAGGGCTTCTGGACGGGTTCTTCTCTAATGAAACGTTTCGTCTCTCCTCCAAGAGACTTCTTCAGTCTGAGAGTTTCAGGC